GTGAAGGTCGTGAAACAAAGCAGGAAGCCGTAAAGGTCGTGAAACAAAGCGGGAAGCCGTGAAGGTCGTGAAACAAAGCGGGAAGCCGTGAAGGTCGTGAAACAAAGCTGGAAGCCGTGAAGGTCGTGAAACAAAGCGGGAAGCCGTGAAGGTCGTGAAACAAAGCGGGAAGCCGTGAAGGTCGTGAAACAAAGCGGGAAGCCGTGAAGGTCGTGAAACAAAGTGGTTAGCCGTGAAGGTCGTGCAACAAAGCGGGAAGCCGTGAAGGTCGTGAAACAAAGTGGTTAGCCGTGAAGGTCGTGCTTGGAAGCTGCAAAGGTCACGAGACGAATCTCGAAAAGTTAAAAGTTGAGAAATGAAGCTGAAGGTCATAAAGGTAGCGGCAAGAAAGCATGAGGCTCACAGTATAAATATAAATAAAATAAAAATATCTTGCTACATGAGTGAGGCAAGAGATGTGCTTACCAGAGCGGGGTACCAAGGGTAGCCACGGCACTTGGCCCACACGAGGTCGAGCGAGTTGAAGGGTAGGTGGTTGCTTTCGCCTGGATCCTCAACCCGCTGCCAGCCTGTAAACAACAGAAACAGGGTTGAGGGGAAGGGCTCGAACATCTCTATGTGATGCAGATTCACTGCACAACCCAATTTCCTGGGGTCATGACCCAGAGGTCATTACATAGGGGTCATGGTGCAGGAGTCATAACCCAAGGATCACGACCCAGGGGCTAATAGCTAATCGTGTCATGTCTCACCTGAGTTTTTGGTGCCACCGGGGCCAGTGCCTCCACCGCCATCTCCGCTGCCACACTCTGAGCCGCTGAACGTGCTGTTTTGGAAGTCGATGTCAGAGCAGGAGGAGCAGGAGCTGATGCTGCTCACCCCGCCCTCAGACTCTGACACGCTGACTGCTCGGCCGCGCCGATCCTGCAAGCAAGCAAGCAGCACCACCGCTCAGTCTACATACTATACGCCTGTCAGGTGACAGTATCACACGACACAGCTGTTATGAGACAGTATCACACGACACAGCTGTTATGAGACAGTATCACACAACACAGCTATTATGAGACAGTATCACACAACACAGCTATTATGAGACAGTATCACACGACACAGCTGTTATGAGACAGTATCACACGACACAGCTGTTATGAGACAATATCACACGACACAGTTGTTATGAGACAGTATCACATGACACAGCTGTTATGAGACAGTATCACATGACACAGCTGTTATGAGACAGTATCACACGACACAGCTGTTATGAGACAGTATCACACAACACAGCTATTATGAGACAGTATCACACGACACAGCTATTATGAGACAGTATCACACAACACAGCTGTTATGTGACAGTATCACACGACACAGCTGTTATGAGACAGTATCACACGACACAGCTATTATGAGACAGTATCACACAACACAGCTATTATGAGACAGTATCACACGACACAGCTATTATGAGACAGTATCACACGACACAGCTGTTATGAGACAGTATCACACAACACAGCTGTTATGTAACAGTATCACATGACACAGCTGTTATGTAACAGTATCACACAACACAGCTGTTATGTAACAGTATCACACAACACAGCTGTTATGAGACAGTATCACACGACACAGCTGTTATGTAACAGTATCACACAACACAGCTGTTATGTAACAGTATCACATGACACAGCTGTTTTATGACAGTATCACATGACACAGCTGTTATGTAACAGTATCACACGACACAGCTGTTATGAGACAGTATCACACGACACAGTTGTTATGTGACAGTATCACATGACACAGCTGTTATGTGACAGTATCACACGACACAGTTGTTATGTGACAGTATCACATGACACAGCTGTTATGAGACAGTATCACACGACACAGCTGTTTTATGACAGTATCACATGACACAGCTGTTATGTGACAGTATCACATGACACACACACACACACGAATGCACGCACACGCACGCGCATGCACATGCACACATATGATACACACACAAACGTATATACAGCAATGTGCAGGAGAACAGTGCTGCCGACAGGAGGCTGAGCATCAGTACCTTCTTCTGCCGGCTGCTGTCAAAGCCGTTCATCCCTAGAGCTTTCTGCAGAAGCGGGAAGTTTCCGGCTGAGGTGTCCGCCGTGTGACCGCTCATGCTGCGCCGCCTCGTGCGCTCGCCGGCGCCCTCTGCTGCTACCACAGCCGAGCTGTGAGTGCGGGTTGTGCTGCTGGGTTCGGAGAGCGCAAACGGTGAGCTCGGTCCTGCAACAGAGGAGTGGCTGCATGAAATCATGGCTTCAGTAGAAGGAAGAGAGAGAAAATAATAATAATAATGTGATCATCACAACCGAAGTGACTAGAATGTGTGACTCTCGTGTCTTCAATTTGAAAATCCCTATTTTAACATGATTTTTGAAACACAGGGGGCAGTTATGGTTATGGTTAGGATTAAGGTTAGGGGTATTGTTAGGATTATGGGTGGACTTAGGGACAGGATTACAGGTATGGTTAGGGTTAAGGTTGGTGTTAGGTTTAGGGTTAGGGTTGGTAATTCTACATATTCCAGTTTACATTGTTTTATCAAATGACAAATCAACAAGACAGGAGAACTAGACTTTTAAGAGAAAAGTAAAGTTAGCGTTACACTCTCTTACTCAAGTAATTCACTGTCACTCTCTTGCTCTCGGCATTGATGTCTTGCTTCTGCGAAATGCGTTCACGAGCACCAAAACCACCCAAGAAAAGCACCGAGGACACTGACTCCTCTCCCCACCAAACCCCCTCTCACCATTCCTCCCCTTCCCCGCCCTCCCCTTGTCTCTCCACAATACACCTCCGCCCTCACTCACCTTTCACGTTCGTGCTCTCCTCCTTGACCCGCATGGCGGTGACCTTGACCCTGGCTGGCGCAATGACCTTCACAGCCCCTGCCGCCGCCGCCCCCTGGGAAGTGTGCGGTGACGTCGGCATCTTCGGAGAACCGACAGGGGAACCGGGCGGTGACGCCACCGCCGCAGCCACCGCCGTGACGACTGCACGTAGTGAGTTGGCGTGCCGCGGCGACGATTGCATGCTGGCGCCCCCTGGCTGCGGCGGGTCCTGGACGACTACGGCGAGCGTGGCAGGAGCACCGGCAGTGGCGGCGTCGTCACCGCTGCGCGAGCGCGTGCGCGGCACACGCTTCTTGAGTGGCATCTCGAGCAGACGCCGCGCCACCGCTGCGCGCTTACGGCTGAACAGCACCGCCGTCCGCCGGCTCACCTCGAGCGGCGCCTGCCGTGTGGAGCCATCTAGCGGCGGCGGCGGCAACACGTGAGGTTCCGAGCTGTCCGGGGTGACGATGCTCTCGGTCGAGTTGACGCAGCCTGCGAGTGCGACATAGAGGGAGAGACAGATGAGTAATGTGACTGAGTATATGAACCATGCACGGTTTTGATTTGCCAGTGAGTTGCATTGACTACTACTGCACTTGATTGATATTGTAGGAATACAGCTTCCCATTCCCTCCACATGGGTCCCGTAAATCATCTGTACTGGACTATCCATACTTAAAATCTATCTTTCCACACACCCCGCACAGGCCTCGTAAATCATCATGTTACTGACATCCAGGTTCCCAGACACCCAGTAGCAATGCTGCATTACCGTTGTCGACAATGCTGCTGCCGCCCTCTGTCTTGTGCGTGGTCGTGCTGTCTGTGGAGACGGCGCCCTCTGGTGGGGACGACGCAGGCAGGTCTCGCTTTGGCGGGTCCTGGTCGAGACTGTGCTGCTGGCTGGTGTCAGCGCCGCGGCCGGACATGCGACGTGTCCTCACGCCGGGGGCATCCTTAACCCGTGCGACGCCATAGTCTTTAAACAGTGCGTGAAACAATGGAACATTAGAGAATAAAAGTTACACACATCAACATCTCAGATGTCTTACACCAGCTTAGGCTTTGAGTAAAATATAACAAGTGCCGCGGAGCGACAGCGCTCATCTAACGTCTACTGCGGTGACTCTGTGGTGGAGTGGTGGGATTCTAATAAACCCTGTTAGTCCCAAATGTGTTCACATTAACGCCGAAACAGTGGAAGGCACATGGATGGTATCAGGAACCTTCTCAAAGGAATGTTCGTTGAGATCGTTATGAAAGTTGCCACAAGATGGCGCGTACGTTTAAGTGTCTTCAGATTAAAGATGGAAGCTCCCATCGTACGTAGTAGTAACAACTATTTGCAAGACAGAATAGGTAAGCACACATCCATTTACCTACGCAAGCCTACAGGCTGAAATAGAGAGCTGCCACCTGTAACTAATTAACGCAGGCAAAAACTACACAGTACCACCACCACATGCACTGGCACTGGCAGTGGCCACTGGCAGTGGCATACGTTACATCAGGAGTAGATAATAGGGAGGAGTGTGACATCAATAAACAAGGGAAATTCGTCATTTACTACTCTTGACCTTTGACCTTTGACCCCCAGCTTCAACATCCCAACTCGTTTTCGGATTACCCCCCCACGTCCCGACTTTCGAATCCGTACGTCGAGCCGTTTAGATTTGTGCCCAACTGTTGACGAACGGACGGACGGACGGACGGACGCACGCACGCTCATGCGATTCTACAAGCTGCATCTGACTATGCCAGATGAGCTAAAAATTGTGTAAAACTAAACTCCTGTATCTTACATTTATATATTATGTTTCTATTTTACTTCTTATTTACTTTACAATTATTTTTATATTTTTGCACTTGGTAAAATTTATTTTTGGCTATAAATGAACAGATAAATTAATATACTTAATAACAAGTGTTGGAATTGAGAAGGCAAGATGGTAGGGGTGAGTATTGCGACCAAAAACCGTATTGCAATATATTGCAATACGACAAAACCATATTGCAATATTTTCCAATACGTATTGGGAAGTGTATACCATGCATGATATATAGTAACAATTTGATGGTTTTAATATCATCATATATTGTATTATATGACATGATTTAATTTCTCATGTTTTTCTTGAGAAACAGAAGCAGGGCAATGTTTTCCGCTGACAGTGCAGCCCTCTGTGCCGTAACAATGTCACCCGCTGTACTGAATACCCTCTTGGAAGGCACTGACGTAGCTGGAATACACAAATCCCTGCTGCATAATTGGCTAATACTGGATACTGAAACTGAAACTGAAACTGAAACAGTGGGTGCTCGCTTCAGCTTGTATCGCGCGCGCGCGCGGGCACTCAGGTGAGCATAGGCTATATATAGACTCCCTTGTTGCCGTGCTCTCTGCCTCGCGCACACGTCTGCCCGACTCTGCCCGCGCAGTAGTACCGCGCAGTGCTCCATGCAGTGGTCGCTTACCAGTAATACTGTATGCGCCGTGCAGGCATTGTGCTTTCGTAATATATACACCGCCAGTGCATAATTTTCGAGCCCATTAACAATATAGACATAAAGGCAAGTGTCAAGTAATTTATTTCTTGTTATACCACCGTATCGTAAAATATCGATATCCGGAAGTTGTATCGCGATATATCGAGTTTTCAAAATATATTGCAATATACCGATATACCGGTATATCGTTACACCCCTACAAGATGGGGTATCGTATATTGTATACGAGGCCTTGCTTTAGGAGATAGAGAAAGAGAGGGGGAGAGAGAGATGGCAGGTAATGCTTATACTGCCATCTGACTTACCGCTGCTCTCCTCTGGACGTCCGGGATGTGCAGGCTTCCCCTTCTCTGTTGTCGCTGGCTCATGTTGCCCCGACGATTCAGCGTCCTCCTTCTCCCCGCTGGCCTCCGCCTCCCCCTGTGCAGACTCCTTCTCCAACCTGCTGCTCACGGACGATTCAACGCTCGACGGATGACACTCCTGCATCATGACAGGGGTCGTGACCTCAGCGACAGGAGCCTCTCCTGGCTCATCATTCCGCATCTCTGCGGGAAGGCTTGGGTTCCTCTGGCGAGTGCGCGGCTCCGCTGGCTCCCCCTGGCCCGTTGCGCGACGCCGACGCTTGCCCGCCATCGCCACCTGCTTGCTCGCGATAGCCGGCGCCACCTCGTTTTCTGCGACAGCTGGCGCCACCTGCTTTGTCGCGACAGCCAGAGTCACCTGCTTTGTCGCGACTGCCGGCGCCACCTGCTTTGTCACGACTGCCGGCGCCACCTGCTTTGTCACGACTGCCGGCGCCACATGCTTTGTCACGACTGCCGGCGCCACCTGCTTTTTCACGACTGCCGGCGCCACCTGCTTTTTTACGACTGCCGGCGCCACATGCTTTGTCAAGACTGCCGGCGCCACCTGCATTGTCACAACTGCCGGCGCCACCTGCATTGTCACGACAGCCGGCGCCACCTGCATTGTCACGACTGCCGGCGCCACCTGCTTTTTCACGACTGCTGGCGCCACCTGCTTTGTAACGACTGCTGGCGCCACATGCTTTGTCACGACTGCCGGCGCCACCTGCTTTGTCATGACTGCCGGCGCCACCTGCTTTTTCACGACTGCTGGCGCCACATGCTTTGTCACGACTGCCGGCGCCACCTGCTTTGTAACGACTGCCGGCGCCACCTGCTTTGTCACGACTGCCGGCGCCACCTGCTTTTTCACGACTGCTGGCGCCACATGCTTGGTTGCAACTACCGGCGCCAAATGCTTTGTGTCGCCCACGTGGCCGATTGTCCGCCGCTGGCGCCGTGCCACGGATGAGGTGGCACTCCTTCTGCCACTTCCTAGCTTCTGCCAACCGTTTCTTGGTGACTTTAGTGCATTATGCGTGCGACGTAGACGCTTGCAGATGGGCTGCTCATCTTTGTTGCCATGGCGATCGCTCGCGCGGCTCCGCGTTGTCATGACCGGCACGGCATCGGCGGCCGCCGCTAGCGCCACCTGGCGGCACACGTCTAGATCGGCAAGGCTCATGCCACGTCGCTGCCTCTTGCCGAACGCTGGCGGCATGCCCGGTGCTGCCTCCTGGTGGGGGCACCCAGCAGCGGCGGCAGGGGGTGGTCGGCCTGGCTTCACCTCTTCCTGCTTTAGCTGACTGACAACACTCTCCTCTGCTGCAAGTGAATGACGAGGAACAGTCAGTAAAGGGGTCCTGATGACATATCCACAGTTAATGGACTAAGAGACAAGTTTGCGTGCTTCAATTTCTCTCTTGCTATTTAACAGAAGTTGAAATGATGCAGTATTACACTATGTTTACACACTTTAAGTTATTAAAAATTAAAAGTATTTCTTGTATTTTTGTAAATCGGAGGCCAAGCAATTTAATGAGATATAAGAATAAACGAATTATCTCAAATCGAGAAAATTGAACTTATTAAACCTCGTATTTATCTCATAAAATGCCACTTCAATGTCATATTAATTTCACACGTTACGTAACATACATAATCTTGTATTATTATACAACGCAAAGTTTCTAAGCCGCGGACCTGCTTGGGCGCCCCCTGCTGGCAGCAGAGTAGTGTCAGGTATTGTCTCGATGCCTGCACGGCTGAGCCTGCGACTCATGCGACGTTTCATGCTCTTCCGGGGCACCTGCAGCGGCTCAGCGTCCGACTGGGAGACGAGGTCACCCGTAGCTCCTCCTTCCTTAACCTTGTCTGCGTAACGCAGCGGAGAGGCAAATCGTTAGCATCGATTCCTTATACAATATCAACATATAATAATAATAATAATTGATAACAAATGATAACCATTAATTGTGTGAAATGCCTGTATTACAGGTGGTGGCTTATTTGATGCAGTGACCTTCATTCCATTAGGAATTTTTCATACCATGATATATAATGTATATGCATATGTATAAATAAATAAATAAAGAAAGAAAGAAATATATATATATATTCAACTCTCCAATAGTTGGAGAGAGTCCCATTTAGTCTAGTTTTTCTGTTTGGTTTATAGAGGGCCTATTCCAGACATAACTCACATGTGTCAGACGGCGTTGGACTGGAATATTGTACGGCTTAAAGCAAGGTTCGTTTTTAAGGCGTTCAGAAATTGTAGAGTTGACTGTATCTACATATTCGTTAACTATGTTAACTATGCAGCAATAACTAGAGCATGCACATGTATTGTTTCCTTTGACCTACCACCAGACGTCTCTCCTACTAAGTCCTCCTCTCGCTTGATGCGCCTTAGGCGCAGCGCGCTGATGCCGCGCCGCGACGGGGCACTCAGTCGCTGACGGCTGCCGAGGCTCGACGGGGGTAGCAGGTGTCAGAGCCACGGTGCGAGGGGACCCGGCAAGGATTACCGAAATCGGGAACTGGGACTCGCCAGCTGTGGTCTCCAGAGACTTCGCCGGCACAGTGTCGTCTACAACAAACAAGAGAACATCTATCGATGCAACTGATATTGACATGAAGTTACACTTGGGGAATGGGACAAATCCAGCTAGATGGCGCTAGGTGGCGTGACGGTGGCACCCTCACGCACGTGACACTCCGTGACGGCAAGCACACAGTAGTTCATCGTACCTGCGCTGTCATTGTCAGTCGTCACCTCCTGCTGATCGCTGTTCTCCTGCTTCAACGCTCTGCGCTGGTGGGCCGAGATGCGGCGACGTAACGACACGACTTCCTTCTTCAACGTGCGCGCCCTGCTCGTGCGTGTTGCTGAAACAAGAGAGCGCGCATAAACTTACGAAGTACTCATGAAACAAGACTCGTGCACTCATGCATGTGTCATAAATTTTAAAAAGGCAACCTACTAATACCTGCTTAAGGTAGGGGCACACGAGCGATTTTTATCGCCCGATCGCCGCGAATTTCAAAATCGCTCGAAAAAATCGCTCGTGTGCCCCTTCACGTCGCCTCGTGTGCCCTTCACGTCGACGCCGATTTTAATCGGCCGACCGAATCGCCCGTATCCAAAATGTTAGATATTTTCGGCGATTATTTACGCCGGGCGATTATTATCGCTCGTGTGCCGTGACCGGCGTATTTTGTCGCCCGATCGATTTTCTAAACCAATCGGACGTGTGTTGATATCATGTGATGTTAAATGTTCTGTCGAGTGCGTACGCGTACGCTCTCAAATTCGCTACGTCACGTGTGCCCCTTCGTGATCGGGCGATAAAATCGCTACGTGTGCCCCTTCGTGATCGGCGATTAAATTCGCTGGCAATTTTAATCGCCGCGATCGGGCGATAAAAATCGCTCGTGTGCCCCTAGCATTATGGTTCTTCATACCATAAAATTCTAATTTTTTCATTGAATCAACATTTTATGAAATTGGTTTTAATATTTTTAGCTCATCTGACATAGTCAGATGCAGCTTGTAGAATCGCACAAATCTTAACCGCTCGACGTACGGTTACGATATTCGGGACGTGGTGGGGTAGGTGGTATGTGGTGGTGGGGGGGGAGGGTAATCCGAAAATGAGTTGGGATGTCGAAGCTGGGCGTCAAAGGTCAAAGGTCAATAGTGTAAAAGAAGGGGAACATTCCCTCCTTAACTTCAGGTATAGGGAGGAAATGCAGAATTGCGGCACAAATCTAAACAGCCAGACCTAGGCTCGTGTTAGTCGGTGTATAGCATCATGGTAGAAAAAGCCATCACTGGCCGAAATTGGAGGTCACAGGTCAAAGGTCAATGGGGCACAGGGCAGAATTTAGACATTTTCTGAGGACATGGTCTGACGGAGCGATTGAAAAACTTTTTTGTTTCAGCGCGTGACCTACCATTTTTATAGCTTTATTGAAAGGACCATGAAATGTACTTTCGCTGACATGCAAAAGTAAGTGTCAGATAAACCTTTTGACCCTCAAGAGGAGGGTTAAACATTGATTTGTTGACTGTTAACAAAAAGACTGAACCGCTTTTGCTATTATTAGAGGCCGATACCTGTGTGAATGTGAGGTACAGGTTGCACA